TCTGGTTTCCTTGAAGAAACGCAAACCTTTCGATCAACCTAATATATAACTAGAAGAGGCGATCCGTTCAGAATACCAGTATTAAAAAAATCAGCCAGAGTTAGAAGATGTCCGAAAAACTGGTGTTTTTCATGACTCTAAAACGAATTACCCACGAGCGATGAACTAATGGTGTGTCACTCACGGGTGGCGATATGCTGTGCAGGAACCTGCAGTCTTATCTGTTTCTCCTTTTTGGAACTGTAGCATTTGAATACCCTGTCGCTTGATATGGGGATATTCTTCCGCATCAGTGCTGCCCCGAGCGAGTACAGCCGTCGCTGACTTAATGTAGCAGGTCCTCGAAATTATCGTGCTGGTATTGTATTGATTTCAAGAGCACTATTCATTTTTTCTATGTCATCCTCAATCCTAAAAGTCCCCTCAATTTTTAGATCTCTCATGGTTCTCGCATGTCCACAGTGCAGTAAAGTCTTATCGAACGGTTCGAACCTCAGACGACACCTTGCTGAAGTCCATGGACACATGAGTCGCGTGGAAAAATGGGAAGCACAAAAAGTGGAGGAAGAGTGGGAGCGGGAGATGTGCCCTGTTTGTCAGATGTTCTTGCAATCTCCAAAGGAAATATACTACCATGCTAAGCGGAATCATAATTTCGAAGGAGTTGTACAAAAGGAGACATTCGCTAACTACGATGAGTTTGAGGTGAGCCTCGCGTCATGCTTTAGTTTTGCATGTAAAATTGTAAGTTGTAGAAGTGGAAGGAAACTATGGAGAAGCTGCACGCTTCGTGCTGGAATCGCAAACATCAAACAGTAACGAGTAACGTTTGCTATCGATACTTCAGATGTCACAGGTGGAGCAAATCTTCGCTTTCCATTCATTCACTAGGTGTCCTTTTTCAAAATTTCTTTTTGCAGGGAAGTCCGCCAACTTACCATGGAACTTTGAATGGAGACCTGGGTAGATCGATAGAGTCTATAAGGTTATTTACAAATATAGATAGCAAAACTGCAACCTGCATTTCACAAGCAACTTATGAGCAGGTAAAGTTTGTAATGGTGCAGTAGGGTGGAGGCTTGGTGGTGAGCTGTGAAGCATAAGCGAGGAATCGCATACGTCGAATCGAGTCGTGAACGTCGAACCTTACCACTGAACCACCACGACTCGAGTCCACGTATGCGATTCCTCGCTTACTGCTTCGCTCAGCTCAGCCACCAAGCCTCCACTCTTCTGCCACCATCTACACAATCTTTACCTGCCTTATGAAATGCTTTATGAGAAATGCAGCGCTTGCCACTTCTGCCTGTCTGCAGGGAGGGAGGGGGCAAAAGAAGTCACTTCTCTTCCTTGACTTTCGAGGCGCTATAAGACACACTTTATCAAATTCTTATCGGACATTTCCACCACCATGGTTGAAGAGCATATTGAATACTATCATGATACTCCGCCACAGCCTTCTGGAGGAGCGCCATCGAGAGATTCTGCCACGCGACCGTGAGTGGGTACCTGAGTTCAGCGATATAGTTGATTTCTCCGCCACTGTAGACCACCCTGTTGAGCTCTCCGCCCGAACGAGTAATTGACGGGCAGTTTAGTTCAGCTGACCTCCCACTTAATATCTCCATCTCTCTTCAGGTACTCACACGTCCTTCCATTCCAAGTGGCGCGAGTATTGTTTTCCAATGCCTTTGAATCCCGTGTCGTGCCCATCCGGAGTGCAGTACCAAAATTTCAAGAAAAGCTACGCGGTGACGGACATGTCAGGAAGGATCATTCTTTCGAGCTTGGCTTGATCGTTATCGGCCAGGCGTCCACTCTTCAGTCGTGACGTTCACGAACAAAAATATCGTCTTTCATTCCAGGTAAACTCAGGTCATACCAGCTCCCACCGCGGCCTTGCGCGCTCCTGGCGAATGCCGGTGAAGATGATGTCCTAGACCGTGGCGACGTTGTCGGAGCTGCTCGATGTTGGAGGTCTTCCAGATCGAGAGTACTGGTCTCCAGGTAGCTATCCATGGGTGACTCCATACTAGAAGTTTCGCAGCTGTTTGGAGGTGACATGAATTCCAAAGGTCTTCTCCAGTCAGGCTGGAGATGACTTCATATTTTGGTGTACATGAAGGTGATGGGCGAGAGCCAGCTCCTGCTTATCGAGGAACATCTTGGGTATCTTCCGCCCTGGTATCCACGTCCTCTGTCTGGGCTGCGAAAACTTTGCTGATATGTGACTCGGTCGAAGTGACTTTTCGGCCCCCTGTATATTCGTAAATAATCTTATAAACTCTGTCGATCTACCCAGGTCTCCATTCAAAGTTCCATGGGAAGTTAGCGGACTTCCCTGTTAGCGTTCGCTATCAATAGCTAAACTCCAGCGCCACCGGCCGGGAAATAATAGGTTGATCTAACGTACAACAGGTCTCTGGGGACCACGGGAAGTATAGGGATCAATCTAGCGAGCGCCAGCGTCCGCCAGGCGTTTGCCAGCGTACAGCAGCGTCCAGGAGTTGAGAGTATGGGGAGGGGGAAGATAGCAGGTAGCTAGGCGTCGTGGACTAGCGCAACCACATCGTACAACTGCACCACACAGTACATCAAGGTAGCCTAAGTGCAGTTGAACGGTGCCACTGCACACGCCGCGTTTTCATGTTCCCCATCTCTCCACTCCTAGACGTTTCCGTACGCTAGTACACGCTGGTGGACGCCGCCTCAAAGTAAGAAAGCAGCCCAAGGCCCTCTCAGTCAACGCCGACAAGGTCTTGGTGGACTTACAGCGCTTCGTGCTTCGCCACTCGCTGGTGGTCACCGCCCTCGGGTAATTGAAAATGAAACAGTCTCTATAAGTTGCGATAATATGGTAGTAGCAGCATTTTTTTTCTTGGTTTTTTCTATTATGAGGGTGGCGCTGACGGGAACAGTTGGTATCGTGAGTTTGCTCTGATATGAATAAGCGTGAAGTCATTGTGGTGCCGACTTTTTCCTTTTTTTTCTCGTTTAACCACTAAAACCAGTCGAAGGGTAAGGGTTGAGGGTACTGCTCCACCGTAAGATTTTCGGCTGCTCCGTTTGCTTCGTCGCTGCTCTTGGACACGCGCGCCTCGATTACCGATTATTAATTTTCGTTCGGTAGGTTGAACAATACTTTCGGACATACAAAAACTAGCAGAACCTCCCCCCCCCTGTTCCTGATGTAGTTATCGGAAATCTGTGTTTCCTATTCTTGACTATACCTTTGCTTTTCGCTGTTCATTTCGTTGCTGGCAACAATAAAGCAAAGTGAAGAAGAGTCAAAAACACGCTGATGAGCAGTTCTGCTGCATCTTTTCTTATTCTCCAAGGAAGCGTAGTTGGGTAGCATTTGCCGATTGAGCCCTCTGGGAGACACTTATCAAAATTGGCGCGTAATGGCGCTGGTACAAGAGTAGTTTCGTAGGGGAGGAGGGGGGGGAGGTCATCGGATAACTTGAACAACCGAAGTTTGAACACCAAAAAAATCGCGTTCTCAGGTTAGCATATACAAAGTAAAGTAAAGTATACGAATCACCTGTATCACCTGTGCTCCCGTTGATCATCGAGTTCCTCGAGCGGGCGCCAGTAACGTCTCCATTCGTCCCTGCAACGTGCAAGAGTTGCCCAATGAACTCTCTCTGCTCGAGGGACACGATGAACTTCATAATTCGTTCAGAGCTTTCACGAAGAAGTCTGACCATCGCATAGGCGGTCGTCCAGGCGTTCGCTTGACATCCCGTGGAATCCAGTCGGTGATCGCTCTGGTCCAGCGGTCGTCCTCGAAACGCATGACGTGTCCGGCCCACCTGATCTTCGAAACCTTGGCAAATGCGGCGGCGTCTCTGATCTTCGATCGTTGGCGGAGTGCGGAGCTCCGGATTCCCTCTCTCACTTGCGTGTAGCGGGAAACTCCGAGCATCGCCCTTTCGATGGCGCGTTGAATAACACCGACCGCATGCTCATCCTGCTTTCGTAGAGTCCAAGTCTCTGAGGCGTACGTCAAGGCAGGAAGGACCACGGAATCGAAGAGGTGGGCACGGA